ACAAAAAACATCAGAATTTCATTGAAAGAGTTGGTAGCAACTATAAAATGAGAAAATAATGAGCTACTTACCACAACAGACATCGCAGAGATCATCCGCTGGTTTCATAACTGTAACATGGGGTATGTATTTGGACCATATCCGTCGAAAACTGCAATTACTCATCTTCAATTCGTCATCAAATGTATTTTCGATAAATTGAGGACTTCGTCTCGCTGGATGGCAGTTTCATTATCCGAAAATCCTTAAATTTTGGGAGTCGTCCGGGCAGTGGAAGAGCCATTAAATCGGCTATAGACTCGATGAATTTAACAGCTTTTTCGATGTCAGCCGGTTTNCTTTTTCAAACTTAGCTTAAGTAGTTGGCAGCACTAACTACGAAAACGTCGGAATTGGGAATAGCATTTTTTTCGTATTCGGGACGGGAGTTCCGTTCACGACGGGAGTTCATTCGTAATGCAGAATAGGGCTGATGGTCCGATTTGCTTGAAATTATAGATATAAATACATAGAATAGAATTGAATGAATTTTTTACAGTTGGAAAGGTATTTTAAGGCGCCGCAAAGCAATGGGGTATTGGCTATTTACGTATACTTATTATCCATACCAATCATATAATATATACATATATGTATTATTATATCCTTTTATAAGAGGTGATCTCGCAAACGGCTGTACCATTTTTTTTTTTTAATTTTGGACTCCTTCTGGTTATAGGCTGATAATAATTTCGTTATAACAAGAGAGCGTGGCATCTCCCATACAAATCGAATTTTTCATACCACATATCTCTGGAAGTATTTGTGGTAGAGTTCTGGAACTTGGTATGGTATCAATCCAACACTCATGGAGAAAAGTGGGGGATATTGGAAAAGGGGGCGTGGCGCCTTCCAAAAATACTGAAACTTTAAGCTATTTGTAAATACATATGTAATTCTTCGGTACGTGTGTTTGTGAGTGAGCTCCTCTAAAACGAACGAAATTATTTTAATTCAAGTTTTTGCGTGTTTTACTGGTTTCCTGTATAGTTTAGGTTCACAACTTAAAACACCAGGTGGCGCTAGAGTCGAGTTATTACTAAAACTTTTATTTACGATCTGATCTGGCTAATATTCAAAACATGTGCTGGTAACGTGAAGGGAAATATTGCAGCGAAAATAACTCCTCTGGAGTCGAATTATTACTAAAAATCTTATATTTGATCCGATTTGCCTCATACGCGAGATAAATATTGGTAACGGTAGGGGCAATACTATTGCAAAAATGATACGCAAGGTGGCGCTGGAGTCGAGTTATTGCTAAAAATCGTCAAGTTAAGTCACCAGGCATCAAAGTCAAATTACCACCGTTAAATCTACCACCAGAACTATTGCGGTCATTGATTTACGGCGACTAAACAAAATAAAGACAATTCTTCATGAATGCCTACAAATAAAATTGTAAGACATTTATGGTATTTCGTCTGAAATAAGTCTATGGATATTGGACTTCTGTGAACCAATGGTACTCCCCCATTTTGAAATTGCCACCAACTATACTATCATTGTTGCCGCAAAAACTTCTTCACGGACATTACGATTTCGTTAGGTTATTTAAGATGGCAATGGAGGATATGCTTTCTGACGACCACAAAACCAAACTTCGACGTTCATTGTGGTTAAAACGTTGGACCAAATGTTTCAATAAAAAATAAATTTTGGGCGGGGGTCTGCTAGTATGTATATAATTCTTCGGTACGTGTGTTTGTGAGTGAACTTCTCCTAAACGACCGAAATGATTTTGATGAAATTTTTTTTTATCTATTTGAGTTTGTCCCTATATAATTTAGGTTTACAACTTAAAACGTCAGGTGGCGCCGGAGTCGAGTTATTATCAAAAATGGTATTTATTATCCGATTTGGCTCATATTCGAGATATATGATAATTGGTAACGGTAGGGGCAATACTATTGCAAAAAAAAGCTGCAAGGTGACGCTGGAGTCGAGTTATCGGTAAAAATCGTCAAGTGAAGTTATTCGAAGACTCCAGGGATCAAAGTCAAATTACCACCGTTAAATCAACTACCAGAAACATTGCGGTCCTTGCTTTACGGCGCCTAAACAGAATAAACACAATTATTGATAAATGCCTACAAATAAAATTTTAAGATATTTAAGGTATTTCGCCTGAAATAAGTCTATGTATATTGGCATGGGCGTAGCCAGGTAGGGGCAGGGGGGTGCTCGAGCCCCCCCTAACTTTCAAATTTTCTTTATATATATATAAAATAGTACCCTAAAATGCCAGCTTAATAGGGTCGAGTCCCTCCCTAAATTTCATTCTGGCAACGCCGATGTATATTGGATCTCTGTGGACCAATGATACTCCTCCATTTTAAAATTGCCACCAACTGTACTATACAGATTCAAAGACGATTCACCATAGAACCGAATCATTGTTGCCGCAGTATTTTCTTCACGGATATAACGCTTTCATTAGGTTATTTATGACGGCAATGGAGGATATGCCTTCTAACGACCACAAAACCAAACGTGAACGTTAATTTTTTTGGGGAAACGTTGGACCGAATGTTTGAAAAAAAATAGGGCTATTCTCCAAATCTTGCAAAGCCGTTGCTCGTAGCACAGATTGCATAACTTGCAAACACACAACAAAATATATGGGAAACACCATTTCCTATCGCTGCAAAATATACAACATCGAAACCCATGTGTATATTTTGAAAAAAGCATAGCAAAATAAATGCGACCCTGTCAAATTCCGATGAATTTTATTGAATTTTCAGGTTTATTCAATGAATTTCTCCCTACTTGACCTTCAAATGACCACGAACCTGACGTGATGGAGGCTAATGGACCTCGGATTCGCATTCAGCATGTCGAATAACATAGGCATATATAGGTTTGGTTTAATACACTTTTTTTTTAAACCTGTGTAACTAACAACACTCAACAAAAACACGTCAGCCCTTTTTTAAACAAATTATACTCTATCATATCGCAACTGGTACGTACCGACTCGGCGATATGCCAATAAAACGATTTCTCTTTTTGTTGTATTAATTTCTTGCGCATATCAAACATTATCTGAAACATGTCAACTATAATTAAATTACATATTTTCTCCTTACCTTTTACAGTAGGTACAGTTCAAGAAAGTTCTAACGTTATATAAAAACCTTAATCCTAAAGTATTTTGTTTGTGTAAAATAATATTACACTGACAAAAAATACACGGGGAAAATTTATCGAACACCGAGTTGCCGAGTACCAAGCTCGGTGGTAAGACCACTATTAAAAATTTTTATGCTCAGAATTTAAAATTCAGTACAAATCAGTACAAATTTAAAAAAATCAGGACGTTAGCGTACTGATTAAAGAAATGAATAAAATCAGTACGAGAGTTGAAAAATCAGAACTGTACTGATAAAATCAGTACGTCTTGCAACCGTATCTACAACTCGTAATTGACGAAATAGTAAAAATCGCAAATCGCTTTTAACAATTACTTTTGCTTTTCGGATTGCAAAAGAGCTTTATGAATAAAATCAGTACGAGAGTTGAAAAATCAGAACTGTACTGATAAAATCAGTACGTCTTGCAACCGTATCTACACCTCGTAATTGACGATATAATAAAAATCGCAAATCGCTTTTACAATTACTTTTGCTTTTCGGATTGCAAAAGAGCTCGTAATCTCAGTGCCCTGTCTCCACAGGAAAACACTGATGTCGTGATGACCATGTCACAAAATATATTTCCAATGGAGACCGCCTATTTCTCATGGGCTTCAATATATGCTAGCGCTTATTGCTTTATTGCTTGACATATATTGCAGGCAATTCAATAGTTTGACAGCCATATTTTCATTTGAAAAAAAGCGTGCTGGTGGTAAAATCGATGAAATTTTTATATTAAATCAAATTAAAAATCTGTTCTCTATTGGATTATATATGATTACGTGTTAGGAAATTATTGAGCAAGTTTTTTAAAGATTTAAATGTTTTTAAACACCGAAATTGAGAGAATGTTGTCTGGTGGCGTCAAGTGGCAAATGCTTATTTCAAGACATCAAAGCGCCCACACACAAAAACTTGCAATCATATTTCTCGTCAAAATGGCAGTTGGTAGGCCATCAGTGTTTGCCTGTGGAGTTCTGCGGTTATAATTCGTACTGAATTAAATGAAAAGCAAAGCGCGACCGACATGTTGGCAATTTTTACAAGCTTTTTTTTACAGCTACATTTGCTTTTCCTTTATCTGCGTATTTACTCAAATTCAGTGTTATAAAAGCTCTGCAAAATACGAAAAAAAGTTGTTGTACAATATAAAATTCCTCCATCTACCCTCACTTAAATTTTGAAAAAGAGTAAAAGCTATTTGGAAATTCCATAAAAAAAAAATTGGGCCGTATGCATAAAATCTAAGCAAATGCTTTTTCTTAAAATTTTAGACCTTTCACAATATTTTTTCAATTAAATTTAAGTTAAAGATATGAAATTTTATGAAAAAGCAATTGCTTAGTTTTTATGCATACGGCATATTGTATCAACAACTCGTATTTTTGAGTTAGCTGTCTATAGCTCGCAATTCCTCTAACTCGAAAATCGCCTTTAACTCGTAATTTTATGGTGGTCTCTACCATTATGAGTTATGGCGATTTCACTGTATGTGCGAGCAGCGACCCCTTAATTGTGTTGCATTTAAAAGTAGAAGGATAAAAAATCTGGACATGATGAACCAGACAGGCGAGAAAAGTGAGAAAGGGAGATAATCAAATGCATTTGTTTGTGTAAAAGTTTATGTGAATATTTTATTCCAGTTAGTGTATGTTCTCTTTAAGGACAGTATGTAATAGTTACAACTATATACATACATTTGTATATATGTATGCAATAGTACAACGTACATAAGTACATATGTATGTATGGAAATGCCTTAAAAAGAACATAGCGAAATTTGCCGCAGATATAAATATGGGTTAGCTCAATTGCTCATTCATTCAGTGTTTTGTGTTGAGTCTGAGGAGTTCGATGGAGTACATTTAAATTCGAGTTTCAATTCTTCCATCGAAATTCAACAAAAGCTAAAGGATCCAGACTGCAGCTTACAAATGCTTATTCTGCGAGTTTTGAATTTAAGGTATGTACATATGTACATACATATATAATTAAGTTACGATACATCAAATTTAGAATGAAATAAGAAAAACTGTACAAAAGTTTACGTTTTGGTTTACTTAAATTTTTGCATATTCCTTAATTAAATTTTAATCAATACTCATGTGCGTATTATCTACTCGTTTCCAGGCATACATGACTGCTTGGACATGGAACCGGAGGTAAACTTCCACCTCATTCATTCTTCATATATTTGAACCAATATATTTGGTATCAGTTGGATTCATTAAGCTCTTTTGTTACTCATCATCGAACATTGAATCGTCAAAAAAAAAAAAAAAAACGTTGGAAGACCTCAAACGCAGTCTCGGCCATTACACAAAATTTTGATTTTTCATTCGAATTAAAAATACAATAGACAACATTAGGTTATTGTGTTTTGATTTAATAGTGGGTTTTTTTACTATACATTTTCGATATGCCATAATTAATTAAAAGCACTAGTTTTTAAAATTCAAATATTAAACAAAATGTCTGTCGAACAGTGCATTATTAATGCCGACTTTAAATATAGACCTTCAAACTACTAAATATTTCGGTTCATTCTAACACAATGTTATATCCAAATCAAATTCATTCGAAATTGCAAATCATATTCATCAATGATACTTTTGACACCCGAGGTGATATTGTCATTAACAATATTCGGTACAACAATACATTTGCGTTACCTCTTTCTCAAATGCTCTGTAGAACTGGTAATTGGAAGGCATTAAAGTGTGCACAATGCTGGTATTTACTTACAAGAGTCGTTGCGGACAGCAGCGTAGCCAGCGATGAGCATTGGGGGGAAATAAAAAACAGGCAAATCTAATACAAACTTAATAAAGGTAACATTAACATTGTGTCAACGGTCAAAAACTGAGCTCTTATAGCGCAAAATTTATCTACCATTCATTAAATATTAGGGCATACTTATTGAAATTTGAACTGAACTCAAAGCTGAGAAATTGGTAACACTGTAAGGACTGGATCCATATTCTTAACCTTTGCATGAAATATGTAAGCTATATTTGGAAAATAATTGTTAATGTTTCCATATGCTTGTGGTTGGAAATTGAGATTGTTTTAACATTTATTTGGCTCGAATGTGCAAAAAATATTTCTTAACCTCGGAATGAAACGAATGAATCGTCTTAGGATTCCCCTGACTTGAGTAATTATTTTAAGCATTTTTATAAAAAAACAGTACAAGGTTTTTAAAATATCAAAAAGAAACTGAAAGAACCATCCCAAAAAAGTATTTTTTCAATTATGTATTTGACATAAAAAACAAACGGGTTATCCTAAATTTCTCTACGTAATGCGATTTGAACATTACGACCAAAAACCACTTCTGGCCACTCTCAGGTAAATTGCAATCAAAAGGTTTTCCCACTTACGTGGAATTCTGCGCACGGAACCATCCCATGCACGTAATGCCTTAGTATCTGTAAAAAATGCTTGCTGAATTTTGTAAAGGCTGGGCGCAGTAGGAACTGTATTAACTTAAAAAATATACAAAATCTTAGATGGTTAGGTGGGCGTGTCCAACAGCATATTAGTACATATGTATAGCATTGTCCCATTAAGTTTAACTTTTGGCAAATAAATTTAAACTATGGGCAAATGAATTTAATCTTTAGGCAAATAAAACTTAACAGTGTTTGAAAGGCTGAGAAAGACACTAAAAAAATGCAGTTGCTGTGCTGGGAAAGCAATTTTTTGAAAACTTTTGACACTGCTTTACTGCGGAAATATCAACAGCTAACTGGCGGCATAGCGGAAAAGTATTTTTAATTGGTTTTATTTATATATTTGCCCTGTTAAGTGTATACAAATGGATGGAATAGAACCCGCTCCCCCTTCGCTGCGCACCTGGTTGGGGACAATAACGAAGTGGCATTGCTGCCTTTCATTTAAGTTTTTGTATATCAAAACCGAAACTATTGTATCGTTTGCTCAATTGGCTAAATACATTCGTAAACATAATCGTTCATTGATACTTTCAGTTAAATTATTCACAATAAAAAGAAAATTAAATATTTTTAATGACCATCATCCATATAGACATATATACATATTCATGTGTGTATGTATGTATATTAGGGTGCTCATCGAAATTTGTTTTTTTTCAGGACCCTACCCATTAATTTTCTTCCTTTCTATGAGAAACATTATTGCATATTTTTATAGATTTTTTAAAAATCATTTAGAGGTTGCGACTTGACATTTTATGTTAGAAAATACGGTTTGGTAGATTTTTATGTTTTTGAATGACTATTTTTTTCGATTTTAAATATCGAACATGCTGTGAGAAGAGGATTTATAGGCCTTTAAAATGATGTATAATAATCATTGGTCAGACTTGAATTGTTGAGAGTTTTCATCGGAAAAATAAAAGTGAAAAACATTTCTTTTAAATTTTGACTTTCACTAATTTCAAAATATATAGCACTATCTAAAATTAACTTTGTTTTCAAATAAACTGATACCTCATTTATTGCAATCTCATACAAATTGTCGAAGTTAGGCAACTTTTCTTAAATACGGCTTTGAATTTATATGTGTGTATGTACCGGACTTTCAGATTTTTTGAGCAGTGTGGCTAAGGAATTTATCAATGTTTATTAAAAATTGATATATATAGTCCCTCTTTAGCGAAAAATTAGTTTTTAAAAACTACTAAACACTACTAAACACATCGCGCTGAGGCTCCTTAAGCACCATCTTGAATTTATTTGAAATCTGACGAAAACCACTCCCACTAAAATATTGCTACTAAATTTTTTGCTAAAGAGCGATTTATATATCAACTAGCCGGCCACGGATGCGCAAGGCTTTGCTACGTGCTGAATGTATGCATATGTACGTACATTGACGTATTTGGAGAAATATCTTGCCTTTCCTTTATCCTATGTATAGAAGACAGTAATTTTAAAAAGGTGGCAACCCTACTAAAAAACTTAAAGTTTTTGTACATGCGAAGACCTTGCACTTTCATTTGGTATCTTATTTTTTATCCAACGAACGGTGAAGATCTTATAGCTTTTAAACAAGTGGCAACCTTACTCAGAAAAATAATACATTATCCATACAGACACATCCATCCGTTTGATAGTGATGGTATAGAACTAATGCCTACGCTTATTATGATTGAAAATGGTAATTTTGTTAACAGGTGGCAACCCTACTGAAAACAAAAAATGTTAGTGCCTTTCTAGAGGTCAATCCCTTTCATTTGACGTCTCACCTTTTGTAATCCAACGAAGAGAAAATCTCGCCAAAATCCGTTCAGTAGTTTTCGAGATTACCGCGTACAAAGAATTACGACTTTCCTTTACACTATGTATAGATTTTTAGTAAATATTGATGAATTGCTTAGCCACACTGCTCAAAAAATCTGAAAATCCGGTACGTACACACTATTCAAAGCGTCTGTGCAAATTAGTAAATATTTCTTTATTTATTACAAAAAGTTTGAGTAAAGAAATTAAAGCATTGTGAATATAATTATTCAATTTAGTTTTAAAATAATATAAGATATCATGTTTGCAATAAAATAATTACGGATAGAAATTCTTAAAGTTACGAAAATGAATTTAATTGAAAAATTCAGACTCGGGAATTCCATTTAAAAAAAGCAGCTTGTCAATGTAATTTGAAGAAAGATGATTTCGCTTCTTTGAAACAATGGCCCCGGCCTTAGAAAATAGTCGCTCACTTGGCACAGACGTTGCCACCACGCAGAGAAACCTTGTCGCGATTTTATAAAGAATTGGAAATGTAGCCTTGTTATCTTCCCATTCCTCTAAGGGGTTGCTTTTTAAGGCCGAAATTGGTGCCGCTATATATCGCTTTTTTTGCCCAAGCACGAGCCCTCGATGGTGCTCCCAAAAATCATAGGTAACTGCAATATCCTCATCTGACTCACTGCTGCTCAAAGCATTGAGAGCTTCAGCCTTAACAAGCTCCTTAATTTTTTGAACTGCTTTTGAATAGGCCACTGGGTCTCTGAAGCGAATACGTTTGAACCTAGGGTCCAAAACTGTAGCTATGGCAATGGTGCTATGAAACTCCACTTGACCGAATCGTTTTTCCAGCTCGGATAGCAACACCGACTTTGCAGTAGAGAGAGTGGGCGTCTCGCATGCGACTTTACGGACTTGAGATATCAGGCAGTTAGTGATAGGAATTATTTTGGAAATTGAAATATATTTTTCAGCGGAGCTTTCTCTAGTGGCACACTCAAAAGGCTTTAGAAGTAAGATTAGTTGCTTTATGCAGTCGATTTCGCTACCTGTCAACATGTTAGGGCCGTCAGGAGAAAAGACCAACATTTGTGAGCAGATTGGAACCAAATATATAAACCTTTGTAGCACTAAGTATGTCTAGTTCCACCTCGTCTTCACATCTAAAATAAGTTTTTTTGTTGCGCCCTCAGCCGACCCTGCTTCTATCTGAGATTTTCTGAAACAATCGGAATTCTTTACGCTATTCTTTATCCACAAGACAATGGCTCGCACTTTATTTACTGCATCTTTGACACCGTCAAGTCTTAGCCCCGCTTGCACCACCAAGTTCAGTGTATGTGCGAAACATGGTAAATGCTTATTTTTTCCCGCAACTAAAATTGGGGGACAATGCCTCGAATTTTGTCCACTTGAATATTCCACTCATACAAAATTTGTTTCAGTGTACCAGCTTTATTTTCTCCAGTATGTCTTACTCGCAGTTCCCGATTAGCGAGGTTAACCGCCTTTGTTTGAACTCCATCGATGAAGTGCATAGTTACACCCAAGTAGCCCTTCTCCGCCATTGTATCTGTCCATATGTCCATGGTTAAACTTAAATTATCAGCGTTNATATTTTCGCCAGTATGTCTTACTCGCAGCTCCCGAGTAGCGAGGTTAACCGCCTTTGTTTGAACTCCATCGATGAAGTGCATAGTTACACCCAAGTAGCCCTTCTCCGCCATTGTATCTGTCCATATGTCCATGGTTAAACTTAAATTATCAGCGTTGTTGACTTTCTCAATATAGTTCAGTTTAACCACATCATATTTCGCATTGAGTTGTGACTTAAAATACTTTCGTCCCGGAACTTTATACAAAGGCGCAATTGTTTTCATTAGCTTGAGAAAGCCTTCACCTGAAATAAAATTTATTGATAAAAAGTATATATAACTATACAGTTCATTCACGATCCATTGCAAATTCCCCAGGATCGTACTTCCATTTGCAACAGATGCGACCGTTTTGCTTACCTTCCACTACATAAAATGGTTTCATGTCCGTGCAAATAAAGTAAAGGATAGCCTCCGATATACTCGCGAACTTTTGACCTCCATCTAAACAAATTATAAATTATTGACTCAAAATATTAAAT